AAGTCAAAAAGTTACTCAAAAAGTTAAAAAGTTATCACTATTCACTAAAAGTCAACAATTACGGCTGCACAACTCCCAATACTAATTTTCCTCTACACATTAATTTATACAATTTTTTAATACACATTTTTCCATAAAAAGTCAAAAAAATAACCCAAACATTCATATTTTCAACCTCAACTATTTAGTACAAAAAGTACACTTATTTAAGACACCCCAAACAACCATCAAACTGTACCTTAGATTGTTGTTTCGGCCTTCCGTTACAAAAACGATTTCGTTTTTGTTAAATGTTGAATTCTTTTCCTTGTTGGTGGCATGGCCTGTTGTGAACTCTTGGATCGCTTCTTTGCCATGCGTCGAAATCTCATGGAGAGGCTGGAAAGGAGTCGAATCCAGGGAAAAAAATGTTAATTACCCCAAACTTGACACAACTTGATATTGAATTAATAAACTGTATCTTAAACCTATCTTAAAATGATCCTTCAAATCTATAGAAGGAAGAGCATTTTCTTGCCCCACTTGACAAGGAATTAGGTTAAAATAAAAAGAACACATCCGTCAAACTATTATTTTATTATAGAAAATAAATGTTACAAAAATAAATTTAAATATTTTGTAGTTGAGTTTATACAAGTATTTAAAAGTTTTCCCATAACATTTGAAGTTAAAATTAAGCGCATTTTAAAATTTTAAATAAATAATTGTGTTGTGCCTTAAGCCTGAGCCCAATTTATTTACTAAAAATGCATCCAAATTTTGTTTTTGTTTTCTATTATTAAAAATACATCAATGAGTTAGGGATTGTTTGGGGTGTCTTAAATAAGTGTACTTTTTGACTTTTTATGAAATATGAGTTGGATTTGAAGTGATGTGATAGAGAGATGATGTGACTTAAATAAGATGATATGACTTAAATAAGATAGTGAATTTTTTACTTTTTAAATTTTTTTGAGGATGTCAAACTTAGGGGTGGGCGCGGGTCGGTTGCGGCCACGGAACCTCTAATCCGCCATCCGTCCGCTAGATTGGCGGATTGAAGAAAATCAATCTGCATCCGTCCGCCAATCCGGCGGATGTGGATTGAGCGGATTGGCGGTTTGGCAGATGGATGCGAATCGGTTTGGCGGTTTAAAATTTTATAAATTTTCAACATAATTCAACTTGTGCACTTCCTCAAACGAAAAAAGAAAAAAAAAGAAAAAGAAAGTATTACAGTCAATGACTTAAAAAAATATTACAATCACTGTATACCTTATCCAAAGAAAAAAAGTTTGAAACTTTAGAATATCATGATCACTGCATGCCTCATCCACATATTACAATCACAGTATGATTCATCCCCATAAAGTATTACAATCTGTGATTCTTAAAATATAATAACAATTCAAATCACCAAAACCATGAACAGAGCAGTAGTAGAGATTGAATGTCTCTGTATTGTTACATCTACATATGTTTTTGAAAACAAAAACCAACCAGCATATATCATATTTTCTATTTATTATTTTTAGAGTTACATTTAAAAACTAAAAAATATATATGAATAATACGTTTATTTTTTTCAATTCAAAAAATATATTCAAGTTGAAAACTTTTTTTCAACAGAATATTTAAACTCTTTTTCAATTGAAAACACAAATATAATATTTAAACAAATTAAAAATACAAAGTCTTATAAATTACTAGGGGTGCTCGCGATTTGGCGGTTTGGCGGTTCGGTTGCGGCCAAAAAATCTCAAATCCGCCATCCGTCCGCCAAATTGGCGGATTTGAGAAAATCAATCCGCAACCGTCCGCTCGTCATCACGCATCCGTCCAAAATGTGGCGAATCAGTTTGGTTCGGTCGGTTTTGACGGATCAGTATATCCGTTACTCACCCCTGGTCAAACTTGACCTTAGTATAGTTAGTAAGAGAGTGGAAGAGGATTAGCGGACCAAACTTCCATCACTATTTTAAGAATTTCATTTGTGATTACAGGTACTTGACCCACTTAAAAATAACTACCATTAGTCATCTATACTACAAAAAAGAAATGCAAGTGCAAACATACTTGCAAACTTGGGAAGTGAACCTTTGGTTTGGAGATTTTCAATGTTACTTTTTATATGTATTTCTAATCTGTTTTTTGGTAATGATTGGGGCCCTTTACCCAGACTATTCTATAAATAATTTTATTATTAATGAAGTGCTCCTTTTCTACCCAAAAAAATAATAATAATAATAATAATAATATTCAGTGTGTTTGGTTTGAGTCTTCTAAATTAAATTTTTTGAAAATTGAATTTTTTATTTTTCGCACTTTTTTGTTTTTAGTGAATATTTTTAAAATTTTAAACATTTTTTTTAGTTTTTTAGATGCATCTTACTTAGATGTATCTAAAAAGTAAAAAAATTGTGAAAAAATATTTTAAGAAATTAATAAATACATAAAAATACAAAAAAATGTACTGAATTCTCGTATTTTTTTTTATATTTTTGGTATTTAGTGAATTTTTAAAAGATTTTTTTCACGAATTTTTTACTTTTTAGATATATTTATGTTAGGTATATCTAAAAATTAAAAAAATTGTTTAAAATATTAAAAAAATTCATAAAAAACAAAAAAAACACGGAAAATAAGAAAGTAGAATTTTCTGAAAACTGTTTTCAGAAAAACGAAACCAAACAAGCTGATTGGTTTTGATTTTCAAAAATTATTTTTTGAGTTTTTAATATGTATTTTTTTTATTTTAATGATTTTTTTTTAAGTTTTAGATTCACTTAATCTAAATAAATTTAAAGAGTAGAATATTTGTGAAGAAATTTAAAAAATAAATTCATTAAAAGGATGCCAAACAGAAAACGAAAGTCCAAAAACGCAGAGCTACTGTAACACATACCATGATTCGAATCTACGAAGGAGGATTTTTCAATTTCCCAACTATAATGATAATATATACGTTATCTCTAACTTTACTCATCTTCTTCTTTTACTTTGCTGTTCAAAGAATCCAGAAGAGAGAAAAAAAGAGAGGGATACCGTCGATCAAGGCGGGGGAAGCCACGATCGAGGCTAGAAGAGAACGATCGAGGTCGGATCGAGGCCGGAGGAGGAGAATCGACGTTGGAGGAGTCACGATCGATGTCGAATAGCTCTCTCTTTCACTAAGAACAGCTCTCCTTTCTCTCTCTGTAACAACTTTTGAATTTTCTTACAACTTCCAGCAAAGAGGACCTTTTTCATCAAAGAAATTAAACCCTCATTCTCTCACTCTCCCTGTTTTCTTCTTTCTCTTCTCCTCTCTCTATCGCTCTCTCTCTTTCTTTCTTAGTTTTCTTTGTCTCTTTTTGTCATTCTCAATTGTTGCAGCAACTTCTCTTCATTTTTGACTTCATTAATCCCCTTATTATTATTATTATTATTATTATTATTATAATAATGAGATATTTGTTTCCATCAACTAATCTATGTGATTGTAGATTGACTTATATATATATATATATTCTCTTTTATTAGTTACTTAATAAATATAAATATTTTAAGCCTTAACAAACATGTTTTTTAATTTATATTTTTAAAATTTTTAAATATTTTGTCCAAATTAAACGTATTTATAATTTATGTTTTTCTAAAAATAAGCAAATACTAATTTATAAAATTTGTATAAATATAAACAAAAAAACATAAACGTTGTCAAACGCTACCTATGTATTTCTAATCAATTATTTGGTAATGATTGGAGCCCTTTACCCAGACTATTCTATAAAATTTTTATTATTAATTAAGTGCTCCTTTTCTACCCAAAAAACATAAAAAATAAAAAAATATTAGTTTTGATTTTCAAAATTTGCTTTTTGAGTTTTTAATATGTATTTTTTATGGGTCATGCTACGTCGCTCGAAACTGAGCGATCCCTAATCCCCCGTTGGTTTTTTTTTTTTTTTTCAGCAGAAGGAAGAAGAAGATGGAGGGGGAGGGGGAGGGGGACTAAAAAATGGGCTGGAGGCGGAGGCGGGGGGCGCGACGATCGGCGATGGCAGAGGCGACGAGCAGAGGCATGGCGATCGGTGACGGAGACGGAGGCTCGGCGATCGGCGACGGTTCTGCGACGGATCGGAAACGACGACGACCTCTTTCTCTCCCTCTTCCTCTCCCTCTCCCTCTCCCTCTCCTCCCCCTCCCTTGCAGGTCGAAAGAAAATGGCAGAAAAAAAAAAGCCTAATGCCCAAAACGACGTCGTTTTGGGCATTAGGGGGATTAAGGGGGGTTCATTTTCGAGCTCTCAAGCACTATTCATTTTTTATTTTAATGATTTTTTTAAGTTTTTAGATCTAAATACATTTAAAGAGTATAATATTTATGAAGAAATTTTAAAAATAAATTCATTAAATACAAATATTATACATTTTATATGTATCTATATTAAGTGAACTAAAAAATCAAACCAAACCGAATCTTAAATTCTATCAAATGGGATCAGTTATATAATTTTTTTTTTTCGCTCGATTCTATCAGCGACTATTTGATTAATCAAATTAAGGAATTCATCTCTCTATTTTCTACACTTATCCACGTCAATTTAGGTTTGCCCATTCTCATAACATTTTTTTTACCGTCACTGTATCACATTTTTTTACTACTGTCTCTATTGGTCTCCATTGTAAATGAACTACAAAATAAAAAAAATTAAAATAATAATTTTTTTACTTAAAATAAAATAATATAAATTAAAACTAAAAAAAATATATTTTTTAAAAAATTAAAAACCAAACAAAGTGCCATTATTGGAGCTTGAATATCTGCCGTTGAAGACGCCGAGCAGGGGCCCGATACTTGGGCTGGGCTTTCTTTAAAAACATTCAGTAAAAATCTTTAAAAAAAGATGGCCCAGTAGGCCGTACCAACCCATATTGGGCCTAACCAACGGGCCGCACTACCAAGGGCTATTTTGGTCAGTAAAAAAAACCCTAGGGTTTCTGAGAGAAAAAGACTACTGCATCATCGTTCTCTAACAAAAGCCCTCATTTTGTACTGCTGCTGTAGAGAGAGAGAGAGAGAGAGAGAGAGCACAGAAACCAAACCCTAATCATGGCGGCAGCAGCGAGGGCTTTGTCGACGAAGGAGGCAGACATTCAAATGATGTTGGCTGCCGAAGTCCATCTCGGCACCAAAAATTGCGACTTTCAGATGGAACGTTACGCCTTCAAGAGAAGGAACGACGGTACTCTTCTTCTTCATCATCTTTGATTTCATGCAATTTCGTTTATTTATGTGTGTGTGTGTTTTTATTTTTATTTTATAGATTTGATCTGAAACACTGTTATTAGCTAGATTCGAAGCAAAGAATTCGACATTGATAACTATTGGCGGATCTGAGTTGGATAGTAGTATCTCTATAAAATTTCAGAAATTTTTGTTTAAAACTTCGTATTGCATTTTTGGAAAATTTCAAACTTGTATCTTAAAAACCTGTTTTAATCATTTTTGATGAAAGAAAACCATCTCAAATTATTCCTCCTTTTAAAAAATTCATCAAATGTAAGTTTGCTGGTATAGTAGGCAGGTCTATCGATTTGTGAGCCCTAATATGCATGTAGTGTATGCTAATACGTGTTTATTAGCTGATGTTGACGTCACTTGTTGTTAAACTATACTGATTAGTACCAGGGTCATAAAGGTATTAATGTTAATGTAATGAGTGTTGATTCATTGAGTCATTACTTAGTTGTATTTGATGGGCAATCTAAGGATTGCTTTCTTCATATATCAAGTGCCAAGTTTGCTGATCTGGGTTTATTCACCAAGTTTAATTTATATATATATATATATATTTGACATGGGTCTCAATGAAAGCAGTAAAAACTTTTAATCTAGCTGTCAACCAGCAAAAAAAGCTCATTATGAAGGGAATTGAAATGATATTTGAAATAATTATGAATTCTGTTTGGTATAGGTGACGGTCGTGGATCAGCCAAGCTGCATTTTTTGCATGCTACATGAGCACATAATGCAATTGAATCTAATGGAACAAGCATCTTTATGTGTTGATGAGTTCTTTTGTTTTCTTGCATTTGCATTTTCACACAATTGTTTCATATTTTAATGCTCAGGTATTTACATAATCAACCTTGGGAAAACATGGGAGAAACTTCAGCTTGCTGCCAGGGTTATTGTTGCCATTGAGAACCCGCAAGACATTATTGTTCAGTCTGCTAGGCCCTATGGTCAGAGAGCTGTCTTGAAGTTTGCTCAGTACACTGGTGCTCATGCCATTGCTGGTCGTCACACTCCCGGAACATTCACTAACCAGCTTCAGACTTCATTTAATGAGCCTCGCCTTTTGATCCTAACTGACCCAAGAACTGATCACCAGGTCAATACTTCTTTCAATTGTTTTCTACTTGCACGGTGTTTTAGATTGTTGAATTGATTTTTAATTGTTGGATGAGTCGTTTAGCACAAAACTGCACTTACCATAGTCCAATGAATGAATAATTGTCCTAAATTAGGATGAAATGCTAAAGTATGTATTGATCTTATTTGCTTATGTTCTGTATATGTACATTTTGATTCTTATTTATATCATTATCCTAAACTTGGTTGCAGCCTATTAAAGAAGCTGCTTTGGGAAACATTCCCACCATAGCTTTCTGTGACACTGATTCCCCGATGAGGTATGTGGATATTGGCATCCCTGCCAATAACAAGGGGAAGCACAGCATTGGTTGTCTGTTCTGGCTTCTGGCAAGGATGGTTCTGCAGATGCGAAATTCGATTCCTCAAGGCCATAAGTGGGAAGTGATGGTAAATATTATGCGATGGCTTGCATTTTTCTCATGCTCATTTTATATTTGGAGTTTTTTTTATTGCTTAAAAATGAAACAAAGATAAATAAGGGATTAGTGTTTGTATTATTCATGGTTGTTGATCTTGTTACATATTAAATAATACCTGCTGCCTTCCTTGCTATTTGCAGGTTGATTTATTTTTCTACCGGGAGCCCGAGGAAGCAAAGGAACCAGAAGAAGAAGAAGCAACTGCTGCACCAGATTATGCAGATTATGGAGCTGCTGCACTTGGTGGTGCTGGTGACTGGGGTGCCCAAATTACTGATGCTCAATGGGCTGGTGATGCAGTTCCAGCTGCCATTCCTGTGGTTCCTGCAATTGGTCGGGCTGGTGATGCAGGTGAGTTTTGTTGTTCTGCCTTCAATTATTGAAGATAATAGCAATATAATTTCTTTAGCTTTTTTGGCCCTAGTTTTGTTTAGGCTTTATTTTCCCCATGTTTCGTTTTAATCCTATTTTGAGTTGAAGGTGGAGCATTATGCTCAGTTGATGGCATAGGCAAGCTTTGTTTCACTGGTCTCTTTGTTTTTTATTTATTTTGTTTTGTTTTCTATTTTTTTTTTTTTATAAATATTTTGGCAAAATGTTCTCTTAGCAAAGCATTGGTGATTATATTTTTTGAAGGGTACAAACAGAAAACTAATTCAAAATGACGTGGTTGGCTTTGATTTTCTCACTTTAAAATAAAAGACCCATCAAGATGACTTCTATTTTCAACAATGTCCCGCGACATCATTTTTTTCATAATTCTGTATAAAAATTCTCTATTTTACCTTCTTGTCTAGACTCTGATGATCCTCTCTTTCTCTAATGTTGGTTGGATTATGCATCTTATAAACTGCAGTGCCAGTTGCTGGTGATGGTTGGGATACGGCAGTGCCAGTTGCTGGTGATGGTTGGGATACTGCAGTTGCACCACCATTGCCACCACCAATTGACGGAGCAGCGAGTGACTGGGTATGAGAAGAGAATGTCAGCAATAACTTTTACTCGAGACTCTGTTTTCGGTCTTTTTAGTCTTTCGTGAGACTTTATTCTTACTTCTATAAGTTTTTGTATGGAGGCAAACATAGATTTTGGCAAACGATTTAGTCGCGGTTGTTGCTTAAGTTGTAGAGAATTTTGAGAATGCTGGTATCCTAAATGATGTTTTTACTTTTTGGCCATGCATGATTTTTGTATTATTATTGATAGTGTTTTCTTTATATTGGCTGAGAATGCTCTTCACAAATGTAGAATATATATATATATATATATGTGTATATATATATTTTAATTTTCTAATCTGGAAAATTAAAGAGAGTATTTGTCAATTTAATTAAGTTAATAGTATTTTCCTCTGGAATTTGGAAAATAAAAATGTGATTTGTCTGATTAATGTCAAATTATATTTCCTACTATTCATCATCTACTTATTTATGTTAATTAGTATTTATTATTTTCATCATAACTATGAAGCCTATGATCAATGAAATGTTGTGTGATGTCATTTTTATTTACACAGCTGACTTGGAAATTCTGCCCATCCAATTAAATGTTTCACCAGAGGACAAGGGATAGTCTTCAAATATCAAAAAGGATTTGGTGTAGTAGTTTCAATTACCTATTAAATTGTTTTGTTAATATTTTGCTACCTTTTGTCTTTTCTTTATTATTATAGGTAGGTACCTTGTGCACAAGTAAATGATAAAATTTTTTTTGAAGAGTACAAGATATTTTTTTTTATTAAATTTGATATTTTTTTATTAAAATTAATATACTTTTTAATATTTTCAAATATTTTCAAGATATTTTATATTTACTTTGGGTGCTGTTATGGTGTGCAACCCCTTAAGGTTGCACACCATATGCAACCAACACAAAAAGTGTAACCATATGCAACCAACACAAAAAGTGTAAGTGGAAGGTGTAAACATAAAACAGGATAGCAAACACAAAAAGTGTAAGTGGAAGGTGTAAACATAAAACAGGACAGCAAACAGAAAGGCGTAAGTGTAAGGTGTAAGTTGCACACTTGAGAAAAATTCATCTACTTTTCAGCGATAAACAAAACATGGAAACACTTGTTAGCATTTGCCTATTATTATTGTAGAAAATTAGTGATGAATTTATATTCCTACCCCTATAACTCGACAAGGTTGAAACTATTCAGACCATAAGCACATTTGTTGGAAATTTATTAAACAAAAGGACATTTTGTTGGAAATTTATTGAACAAAAGGTCATTTTGTTAATCAACCACTTATCTGTTGAAAATTTTATTTTAACCAATATGTTCAAATTTGTATCAATTTGTTAAAATTCAGAGTTCTTTTTTTTATTTTTTATTTGTTAAATTCACCAAGTCTATTTTTCCTATTTGATGAAATTCACCAAACTTATTTTTCCTATTTGTTTAATATATATTTTTTCTATCTGTTCAAATTTCAATATATACACAGAAAGAGAGAGGGTCTAATATGTCAAAATTTGTTTTTTATCTGTTCAAATCCCAACTCTCTCTCTCTCTACCATGAAACATGAATAAAAAAAAGAGTACAATCATGGTTTGTAGTTGTCATGAGTTACAACAGTATTGATTGAAATCACTATGTTATGAGAAGAAAACCATACAAAGGGCATGAAAACAAATTAAACAGATTTTGAGCAAGGGCAACACAACCAATTATAAAGAAGAATTACCAGGTTTTAAGTTGAAGTCAAAGGATGTTGTTGTGTTTGGTTGGATCATCAATAGGATACAAATGGGGATAAGAGATAGAAGAAATTTGGAAGTTGAGTGAGAAAGAAATAAGTAGAAAGATGGAATGGAGGAGAAGGGGAGGTTGGGGGTGATAGAATCTTTCTTATTCTTTGGGAGTAGAAAGTAAACAGCAGGGAAGTCGAATTGAAAGGTTGAACAACAACTTGTGCTCGCCGCCATTTGCATTTCCCAAACCACAACCAGAAAAGTCACACCCATCACTGTCGCCACCATATCAGCCACCGTGGAGAAGTATCTTCATCGGCGAGGACATTGACGATGTAGTCAATGATTGGCTGATCTACGTCTTGAGCTTTACGACCTCAACAGTGCTTTCTACTCTTTGTGTGCAACTTGGTAATGTAGAGAAAGAGACCGAGAGACCATTGGAGGTATGAAGGCAAGATTGGCCATGGTTTTAAGAGAGAAGTAATGGTTTTCAGTTAAAGGTGTGGCGGTTTCCGGTAAGAGATTGATGGGTTTCGGGTGGGGGATTCTGGGGGAAGTGGGAGGAGTGAGGAGAAAGATGGAAATAGAGAGAGTAAATCTGGAGCTCCAAGAGTGTGAGAAAGATGGAGGAGGGAGAGAGAGAGAAATGAGTTTGGAGAAATGTTATTATGAACAGATAGAAATGTTGATGCAACTAAATAAAAAGACGCGTGGTTGTCTTTATGGATATGATATAATAAGATTGTCCTTATAGACTTAAACAGTAAGCGTCTGGACCTATGACCTTACAAATTTATAAAATGGACTTATGGACTGAACTCCCTTGTTATTATTATTATTTAGATAAAGATTTCTTCAACTATTAGCAAATATTACTTTATTTATTTTTCTTATTTATAAACTAGTACATTTTGAATATTTTAATTATAAAAATGTATCATTTTCAGACCAATTCTAAGGGCCTCTTAGATTGTTGGAGCAAATTTTGGATGATATATATAGTGTAAAATGACTTCGGTCTCTTTTTTACATTTTTCTTTCTATTTTTTAAGAAAGTTAGATATATTCTTCTGTAGCCGAACCCACTCAATTGCACATAACTAACTTAGAGGCCCATTTGAGCTTGTTTTGACAAGCTAAAGGTATGATAGTCTAATGCTGTGTTTGGTTGGGGGATTTGGGGAGGATTTAGAAAGGGAAAGGGAAAAGGTGTGTGAAACTAGGTGAAATATAAGTATATTTTATTCATATTTCACCTATCTTTTCTATTTCTTTTTCCAAATCTCTCCTCAAATCCCCCGACCAAACACAGTATAAAGGTAACTATTTAGACTTTAATTTTTAAAAGGGAGTGGTACTTGTCTATGCTTGAAAAAACCTTTTAAAGATTGGATTTGGATCAACTCAAAAATGAAAGACAAATTCCCCCTTTTGTTTATCACCTCCTTTGGACCATTTGGAAAAATCGCAACAAAGTGACTTTTGAGGAAAAAAAAAAAATTTAGTGTCCAAGAGAGAGTGAAAATTATTTTAGACTATTCTAAAGGGACTTTCCAGACTTTCAGCATGGACATTACCATCCCTTTACTATCTAAAAGCCTAACAAATTGGTCTTATCCTATTGCAGGAAGGATTAAACTTAATGCAAATGGATGCACCAAGGGAGGGTTAGGATTTGGAGGCTTTGGTGGGCTATTCGGAGATGAAAAAGGTGCATGGATCACAAGTTTGAAGTGCAAAACTGTAGGCAGTTTACGAGGGCATAACAATTGTTCTTCAAAGAGGTAAGAACAGCAAAGTCATTGTGAAAATTGATGCGGAGCAAGTTGTGGCTGTGACAACCACGCTACCTATTATATGTGATATTTAATTAATTAAGGAGACTTAAATTTTAATTATTCAGTATTCTAATTTAATTTGGAGTTTATAAGAATTATTCAGTTTAATTCGTATATGAGTTAGTTGAAGATTTATTTTGAAATTAGAAATTGAAAGCCTAAATGGCTCAAGAAAGTATAATTAGTGAATTGAATTATTTTAATTTCGAGTATCGGATCATATGAGAGTTTAATTAAATATTCAATTCAATTTAGTAAATTGAGATTTTATTAATTGAGTCCGAATTGGAGTTGATTAAGTTATGAAGAATGAGAGTTAAGATTATTATGAATTAAATTTATTTAGTGCCACTTTTTCATAAATCTCTTTTCATTTGCTTCTGTTCCATTTGGTCCACATTATTTTCTTATATTTCAATAAGTCCTATGAGTGATATAGTTATCAAAATAGTCCTAATAATATTCACATTTACAGTGTGAATGTTCCGTGATGTGAATGTTCACACCATCAATGTGAATATTCACATTGTAAAATATAAATGTTCACATCACTAAATTGCTAACTGTTCAAAAAATATTTATAATGATAGAAATGTGCATAAAATACTTTAAATATGAGATTTAGGATTTGGTAGATCAAATTTTCAAATAATAAGATTTATTGGAACACAAGAATATCTTATGGACTAATTGGGGATACAAACATTTGAAAAATGATTTTCTAATAAATCTCCCATTTATTTATGAGGTGTTCAATTAATATGTAATTTATTGACGTAGATTTTGGTTTTGGTATGAAATTGAAGGTCTTAATGGTGTGAGAAACCAGAATTGAGGATGGTAATAAGTTTAATTTGACATTTGGAGCTTTTTGGAAGTTTGATTAAAAATATGATTTAGACTGGTTAATTTAATTATGATTATATTGGGTCTCCATTAAAGTCAATTAGATAAATTAAGTTATAGGAGAATTTATTAATTAAGATTAAGTATGGTTAATTGTGGATTAATTAAGTTAATTGTGTAATTGTGAGTTGAATTAATCCCACCCATGTGTTTAGTTGTGAAAATTGGATGTGGGTATATTGGGAATCTAGTGGGTGTCCAGAGAAATTAGACATGTGTGTGTATAGGTGTTGTGCTGGCAGCTTGGATCAATGTGTACGTGTGTAGTGTGGATGCATCAAGAGAAGTTGTGTGTGTGTGATATATGTGCTAGAACTTGGGTTCAAAAAAATGAGTAATGATTCATCCCTCCTTTTTTTTCTATCCCCTTTGACCCCCTCTCTCTCTCATTGGTTACTTTTTCTTTTTCTTTTTCTTTTTTTTCCTGCTCCTCCAATCACCCCATGCCACGTGGCAAAGGGGGTGAGGGGGTGACCCCAAAAAGGGGGTCCCAAATAGAGAACAGAAAAGAGAGAGGTCGAAAGAGGAAGAGAGAGAGAGGAAATTCAAGAATGAATAAGATCAAAAAGGGAAAATACAAGGTTGTTGGAAGCAGTCGAAAGAGAGAGAAATAGAGAAAGAAGAAGAAAAGGAAGAGAGGAAGAACAAAAGAAGAAGAGAGCTTGCGGGATACCAAAATTCAAGCTAAAAATTATGAAAACTTCATTTTAAGGTAAGAAACTCCATTTTCTTTCTAGTGTTGTTTAATTAATCTAGACAAAAATTGATTGAAGGTGGATTTGTGAAGATTAAAATGGAGATTTGAAGATTAATTATATAAATTCATAGAATTGGGTTTTGCATGTTCAATCAAGTTAGGTTGAAAAACATGAGTTATGATTCTTTAAATTCATTAAATTTGAGTTCAATTTAGAGAATCATTCTTGAATTGAGTTTTATAAATTACATGTAACAAGGATTTATTGAAGATTTGATCCATGTAAAAGAGTTAGGTTCAAATTTATGAAATTTAATTTAGAAATTAATCACTTTGGGTTTGAATTTAGTTGCCTTAACATGAAATTGAGTTTCTATTGTACATGCATCATGAATTTTCAAGAGCTTTTGAAGTTCAATTCATGATTTAGAATTTGTGGGTTTGAAATTGGACTTGATATCAAGAAAATGAATTAAATTTAAATTTGGACAAATTTAGAGATGAATTGTAATTTATGTTGAGAATCAAACAATTAGTTTGATTTTAATTTAAACTTCATCTATGCAAATATTTTTGAAAGGGGGTTTGTAGGTTCAATTTTATGTTTCATAAACAAAGAAAGAATTGAAAGATGATTTTAATCCAAGGTAATTCTAATTAAAATCATGGAATTTTGAAGTATAAGTCGAACTTACTTCAAATATATGTAATTGGGAATGTTTCCGCATATTTGAGTGAGTCATAGATGAAGTTGGAGCCTTGGTAATGTGTTTTGAAGTTTAAACAACATTCTGAAAAACCTAGAATTCGTCATCATCGCTCGAGCGTAGAATTCAAGCAATCGGTACCCTGTTTTAGGAATTTTTGAAAAGTTGTTTTATGTTCTGATTTCCGTTCTCTTTCATTTTTGAGCATCCTAAATGAATTAAAGGACATGAAAGAAGCCTACGAAAATTAAGTAAGCTAAAGAACGGATTGAATTGTATTATGAATATGTTATGAATTATGTAGGGTCAAGTGCAAGGACGAATCAAACGCCGGAACACTGTGAGTAATATCTTAATAAAGATATTTTCAAGTATGTTATTTTCCAAATACTACTTCTGTATAAGTTTCATGGATTTGTTGATTTGAATTATGAATGAGTATTCTATATACTTAATTTTTGTATAAGGCTTTGTGAAAAATATGATTTGGGCCCAAGGCCGTTTAATATGTCTAAATTGGGTTTGAGGCTGTTTGATACGTCTAATAAGAGTATGAATTGAGCCTAAGGCCATTTGATACTTCTGATAAGAGTATAAATTGGGCCTGAGGCCGTTTGCCGTTTGATATGTTTGAATATTGTAATGGGCCCGAGACCGTTTGAATATGAATGTGATGGGCCAGAGGCCGTCTGAATATGAATGTAATGGACCAGAGGCCAGTTGAATATTATGATGGGCCAGAGGCTGTTTGAATATTATGACGGGTCAAGGCCGTTTGAATATGAATGTAATGGGCCAAAGGACGTTTGAATAAAAATGTGATCATGATCATGAATATGAATATGCCCATAGATGTGAATATGGAAATGATGGACCTAAGGTTGTTTTAATTTTGATTTACATATAATATGTATTAATGTGATTTACTTAATTAAGAATCTCATTCATACTGCCTCTTTAATTTGGTATTATTCATTGGACGTTAGCTCACTCTTTATATATATATATATATATATGTAGGTGAACAATTGGAGGATCAATATTAGAGTTTGCTTTGGAGTCTGCTTCTTTGTCAAGCCACCCAAGAAGTGCCTCTGTGTAAATGCTTTATTTTATTTTGTTAGGCTTGAGTTAATCTTTGTATTTTGTTAAAAGTCCTTCATGTAGTGTGTAAGATATTGTGGCCCGACTTTTCGCGCTCCTTTCGGAAGGCGAATAGCCCTACAGTTCGGTCTCCACTTATGGTTCTGAATCTGATGTCACAAGTGCAATGTGAAATAATAAAAACACAAAAAGAGTCTAAATTCGGCAATTCTTTTTGAAAAATCAATGTTTGAATCAAATGCTAAAAATGGACTACTTTGCCAGATTATAGAGTTGCCGCCTAAATATTGTTGGAAAATTTAGGAAACCCAAGACTCATGCCAAAGGCCATTAGTCCGTCATCACCAAAATGTCTCGGCTCGGGAACTTAGATACGAGAAGGGAAGGTCATGAATTGAGCATCTCATTCGCTCGATCAAAGATCGGTCTCTACTAATCATGATGTGATTTTTATTTACATTATATACTCTTGTTTTGATTATTAGCTATTTATAATGTGATGCGCACACAAATATAGACTAATTTGCAAGAATTGGAACACTTGATTTCATGTTTTGTTTTGAAATTGTTTTGTGAATTTGCCACTTGAAAAAGTGGGCTAAAATAGACATTTAATCAAACCATCCCAATTCAGGCATCTAGCCTTCATCCACAGGCATTCAAACAATTATATCATTTAAACAATTAGCCTCATGGTATTCATGCTTTGACATGGCAACACAAACATTCGATGCAAGATGCTAAAGCAATAAAAGCTCACCTAGTACTTCAAGCCAAAACAAGGGTAAGAGTTAGAAAAATATGCATGTTCCTAATTAAATGCAATATGACTAATGTAACACATGCATTGAGTATTTTATAGGCTCGGCTATGAGCATGACATATGTATTTTGGACATTGATATTGGGTTAGCATGAGGTGTCGAACTTTATATGGATGTAAGACAAATGGATGCAAAGCCTAAGAATGTTAATGAAATGTGATGCCCTATACTAACTATCGTAAGCAAGTAAGTAAAAGGGAGAAAGATGTGGGGTTGGAAGACATACACATTATTACAACATTTGATCCCTCACGCAGGAGGGTGCGAATCAATGTCCGAAAGGTTTGAATTGAACTAATTATTACAAAACCAAACCAAATGAATAGAATAGGCTAAGCTAATTAACTAACTAATTAGGCTATCTATGCTATTACAACGGATAACTAAGATTATTACAACAAGGATAGCAGAGATAAATAAACTAACTCTCTAAGCTGAATAACTACAACAATTATAAAAGGACAATAATAATTGCAACACGTTAATGATGAGATTAATTACAATAAACAATATTAAATTAAATTAATTACAATGATCATAATGTAAGCGATGATGTGCAAGAATTACATGCATGCACATGCATAATGTTCAAGGACAGCCCTGTCTGCCCCAAGCTTGCTCTGTTTCACCTTAGCCACTGCCCTCTGTTTTCTGCAAAAATACACTGCTGACCAAACTTTGAGGGTCGGCTGGCCCTCAATGAAGCTCTTCTGGGCATGGAGAAGGTTGGCCGTGCCTCAATTTTGTGCAAAACTCTGTTTTGTGTTCTAAAGTGAAAACAATGCAGACAGAGTTGTTTAAGCTCTGTTTATCCCTTTCTTCCTTCTCTGTCATGGGAAAGCCTCGAGAGAAGGTTATAATTGCTTTCAAAGCCATCAATGAGCAAATTGATTGCTTGATGATTTCGGATACAATTTTGGACAAAAATCAATGAAATGCAATGGATATGACCACCCCTCCCCTCTTATCATGGAATGAACTCAAAGAGGTTGGTAGAGACGCTTCAAGAATCATGAAAATGCCATGAATTAGTGCATGATCACTCTTAATTCGATAAACTTGGCATAACGTCTGGCCAAGCCTAAGCAAGATGACTTATTTTCTTTAAGTGTGTTGGTTGCTTTTAAACCAATTCTTTTAGTCATTTCCATTCTTTAGTCCATTTGTCTAAAGTGATGATTAAGTCCTCTAAAAGGAGAGAAATGTCAAAAGGGAAATAATTCTCAACACGAAAAAGAGATTACGCCATTGAAAAGGAATCTCTGTAGAGATTAAGCCATTAAGCGCGAAATTCTAGTTCATGTGTTGAATAACCATCAACCGTTTGAAACAACTCTCAAATGAAAGAAAGAAGTGGCGAGTTAATTATTTAAAATGGGGTTCTTAAACATGAGTCTGAGTTGAAGAAAAGCTAAATTCAATACACAATAAGCTGTATAAGTAAACTTACGAGACAACAACTAAACTAAACAAAGCACAAACTATTTAAATAAGTTAGAACAGCCCCAAAACAGCCATGATAAGCCAAATCATTGGCTAAAAATGTGATAAAAGAGCTCAAAAGCTAAACAAAGGGTAAAGGCAATAAAGCTATGTAAGCCAAAAAACAAAGAGATGTGGCCAACCCCTCCAATTTCAAGACTTCAAACCATGTTTTTTGGCCTTAGTTTAACTCTGAAAATCAGTTCAAAAATCAAAGAAAAAGAGTGTAAAGAACCAAGGGTTGATGAGCTATGAAAATATGTGTAAGTAAAGGTGTTAACCTTACCACCTTTGGTAGCTTATCCAAACCCAAGTTCCAACTCTTAAAATGGGTATAAACCAGCCCAAGAGTACAAGAAATAGGTAGAAATGAAGTAAACTCTTAAAATGGGTATAAACCAGCCCAAGAGTACAAGAAATAGGTAGAAATGAAGTAAGCAAAAACAAGAATAAAAGTTGCAAGCCTATACCTCTCAAAAGGGAGTGAGCTTTGGTTGATGATCAAAACTTACTCTTGACATACTCTCAAGCTTGAATTATGCTTCTCAAGGGTCAACCAAGGCTCTAAGATGATGAGTCAAGGTTGTGTATGGTGTATATAGATGATACAAGGAAGATAGGTTAACTAAAAAGTAGCTTGCAATGGAAGAAGGAGGAAGAATGAGCTCTCTCTATGTGTATAGGCTCTTTCTTAATTGTGTAACCCTCAAAACAGAGGTATATGGTTGTATTTATAGAATTTGAGCACAAAAGCTGATAAATATCTTCAATAAAAGAACAGCTGGTGGGCTCCCGGCCAGAATAGTGTTTATTGCTATTGAAGCCGAACTGACCCTCACTGAGGCACGGCCGGGCCTTAATGACTTCCTCTGTTTTTCTGTTGCAGTCTCAACAAAGGATGGCACAAGGTGTGAAAATGGATTTCTTGGGTGTAATCATTGGGAATATGGAAGGTTTGGGGTTGTTTCGAAGCTTAAATAAGACTTCTTCGTTGAGACCTCGAACCATGCACAATACCACTTTCATCATCGAGTGTTCCGAGCAAAGCGCTTGAGCCTTGCGGGCGGTAAAAATTGGGGTGTCTATAGATATGTTATAAGATATGACTTCGTACATGTATATATAAAAGTGTGTTAAAAATGTTTTAATTACTACAGTTAATCATGTACGCACAGCTCAATGGACATAATTATTTTTGTTTTGCTTCATGTAGCTCGACTCTTCGTGCCCTCTTTCGGAAGACGAATAAGCCCTACAGTATCAGACTCCTACAGTTCTGAATCTAATCTCACAAGTGCAATGTGAAATAGATAAACACCAAAGAGTCCAAATCCGGCAAATCTTTTAGAAAATCGATTTTGAATCAAATTGCAAAAAATGGACTGTTTTGCTACATACAGAGTCGCCACCTAAATATTTTTGAAAAATTTAGGAAACCTATGACTCATGCCAAAGGCCACGTGTCCGTCATTACCAAGATTGTCTCGGCTCGGGAACTTAGGTACGAGAGGGGAAGGTCATGAATTGAGCACCCTTGCTCACCCGATCAAAGATCGGCCTCTACTAATCATGATGCGAATTTTATTTACATTATATGCTCTTGTTCTGATTGTTAGACTAACTTTACTATGTGATGTGCACACAACTATAGACTAATTTGCAAGAATTGAAACATTTGATTTCATGTTTGTTTGCAAAAAAACGTTTGTGAATGTTCCACTTGAAAAAGTGGGCTTAAATGCACATTTAATCGAATTATTCCAATTCAAGCAACTAGCCTTTAGCCACAGGCATTCAAACAATTTATCAATTTAAGCATTTAGCCTCATGGAAAGTATGTTAAACTTGGCAACAATCACACATATGCAATATGCTAAAGCGAGCAAAGGCTCACCTAGTAGTCCAAGCCAAAAAAGATGAAAGAGTTAGAAAAATGCATGATCTTAACTATGCAACATGATTAATGCAACACATGCGATATGGAATTACTAAGCTCGGCTACTAAGATGACACATGAATTGATTCGATAACATGCGGTCTAAGCACGAATTCAAAGAATGTATTTAAACTAACAATGTAAGTTAGAATAATGAACCGAGCTCAATGCATGCAAGATAATGGATGCAAGGCATGAGAGATGCTAAACAAAACATGATACCCTAATCTAACCATCATAAGCTAGTAAATAAAAGGGAGAAAGACATGGGGTTAGAAGACATACACATTATTACAACATTGGCGCCCTCACGCAGGAGGTTTCGAATAAACTAACTAGCTAAACTAATTAACTAGCTATTACAAAGAGATTTAACTAATTATTACAACCGAAGGAAACTAACTATTCTAGCTAGTTATTACAACATCACAATCTAGCTAATTAATTTCACTAATTAATTAATTACAAAATTCTAATTAGCTAACTAATTAATTAAAACATGAAATAACTAAATTAACTACTCTAATTACTCCTCCTCCAGAAACGAGGAATGCTCATGCATGTGCAGACTTTCCACTCGAAAAAGCCACTGTTTTTGTTGCCAGATGCCTCTGTTGCACAGTAGAACACTTGCGTTGATTTCCATCTCAGAATCAACTCTGTTCTATTTCAGCAAGTCACTGCTAGATTTTGCAAAGGTGGTCGACTGGCTAGAAGTGGTGGCCTGCCGGCTACTGTTGCCTGGTTCTTTTTGTTGTAACAGAGGGCAAACAGTGCACAATAGGGTATTCTCAAGGGCTGTTTACACAATTTACCCCTCCTTATCATCATACAGCTCAAAGGAGTAGTAAATTTGATTTACAAACTATCAATCGATGCAATTTCATTGCATGATGGCCTATGAACCAAAGTGTGCAAGTTCAATAAATGCAACAAATAAGGATTGATCAAGAGAAGTGGTTGATATTGACTCTTGAATTGTTTACATCACTAACAAGTATGAAACGATTTAAGACTCAACGGTTTAATTAACGTTTGATTGAACCCGAACTTGATTATTATCTTGTATCACTTTTAATCCCAATTTTATTACTCCATTTTAATTACCAACCATTCCTTAGTAAATTAAGTCTAGAGGTGAGTTTTAACTCCTCTAATGGAAAGAAGCATCAAATCAAGTGTTGTTTTGGGCATGAGAGAAGTTTCATGCCATTGGTAATGAACCTCCAAAGGGATTAAACCATTAAGCACAAGACCTCAATCTCAAGCTTCAAATAAGCAACTAGTTTGAATCAACTTTCAAAGAAAATGAAAAGCCAAGAAAGGAGAGAGGTTGCAGAGATGATTAAGAGTGATCACAAGTATGGAAAGACATAAATAAACACTATCAACTCAAATAGGCTGGTGGTTAAGGCCTAAACCACCAAACCTATGAGGACTATTATACTATAAGTATGCAATACAAAGCTCAAATGTAATGACCATCCAAAAATAGTCCTAAAACAGGTCTAAAACAGTCCTAAAACATGTTGGAATTAAGTTAATAAAAGTTAGAATAATAAGCTAAAATATGGAGTATGCTAGACTAGTAAACAAACACAAGGAGGGAAGGCTACCCCTTTCATTTTTGAGACTTCAAAACAACATTTTAGCCACTGAAATAACTCTGAAAATTAGTGTAAAAAAGCTCAAAAGAAGATAGTGTAAAGATGGAAACACAAGGGTAAAGGCGGGAAACACAATGGTAAAGGCTAGAAGAGCAAAGTGGAAAGAAGGGTGAACCACCCCTCCACCCTTTGAGGCCTTAAACCACAAGTTCTAGCCCAAAAATACAGAGTTTATACAACCAAAAAAAAAAAAAAAAAATAAAAAAACAATAGGAAAAAAAAGAAACTAATGCAAAGCAACAAGCAAAGCCTTATACCTCTTGAAGAGAAGACCAATTCTAGGCAACAAATCAAGGCTTACACACCCTCCAGAGCTCAAACTAGGCTCAAGATTACCTCAGCTCAAAGATGGTAAGGTTTGGTTTAGAGTGTATAGGCAAAAGCTTGCAAAAAGCTAGGAAATTGCAAGAGAGAGAGAGAGAGAGAGAGAGTATATCTATATCTATATCTATATCATCAAATCTCTCTAGGGTTTTCCATTGTGTTTGTGAGAGAGAGAGAGAGCGCTATGGCGGTGCTGGGAGAGGAAGTGAGCAACAAACAGATCATTCTGAAGGAGTACGTGAGTGGTTTCCCCAAAGAGTCGGACATGGTGGTGAAGACTGGTACCATTCTCCTCAAGCTTCCAGAGGATTCGAAGAACGCCATTCTGGTCAAGAATCTCTACTTGTCTTGGGATCCTTACATGCGTGGTCGCATGAGGAAGTTGGAAGAGAGATACGTTGAGCCCTTCACTCCTGGTTCTGTAAGTCAATTCTGAAACTATATACATACATATATATATATATATATGTATGTATGTATGTATGTGAATTATATTGAGAAGCATTTGATTGGAAGATCTAGATTGTTTGATGAAATTGGAGGTGTTTTCGGTAATACTCTGTACAGCAGGGCTGTCGGTTGATGTCCTTTTGCCTCGTTTCAAGTTCTGAATAATTATTTTAAGGGTAAATTATAAATATATTCTTAAAATATGAATTATTTTAATTTTTTTTATAATTTGAAAAATTATAAATATTTTCACGTGAGTGGTTTCCCCAAAGAGTCGGACATGGTGGTGAAGACTGGTACCATTCATCTCCAGCTTCCAGAGGGTTCGAAGAACGCCATTCTAGTGAAGAATCTCTACTCGTCTTGCGATCCTTACATGTGTAGACGCATGAGGAAGTTGGAAGATAGCTACGTTGAGTCCTTCACTCCTGGTTCGGTGAGTCAATTCTGAAACTATATATATATATATAGTTTTGGTAATACTGTAGGGGTGGACTGTCGGTTGATGTCCTTTTGCCTCGTTTCAAGTTCTGAATAATTATTTTAATGGAATTGAAGAAGTGGAGATGTTGAATTTTATATTTGTGTGTTTTTATCATGATCCCTACTGTTGATGATGTCCTTTTTTTTGTTTTCTGTTTGTCGGGATGATCTGGATGATTATTATAAAGCTGTTGAAAATTTGGGGGAATTACAGAACTGTTGTAACAAAAACTCTCAAATTGTTCTCCAATTCCGCATACTAGTCTCGCCATGTTTAGAATTTAGGGTATCATCCCAAATATTTTTTATGATTCCCAATTTTTTTTTTTTTTTAAGAGTTCTAACGAGGTTGAATATTTATTAGAGCATCTCCATCAAGCCCTTTCTCTCTCTCTCTCTCTCACTAATCAAATTTGAGTGAAAATTTGAATACCAGTTTGATCTGATATGATATATTTCAATCCTTTCTTTTTTTTTCATCAAATCAAATCTTTTTAATAAAATTCCGAACTTATCCTGAAAAACCATTTTTTGATGAAAGGAAATAATCTCCAATCCTTACTTTCTTTATAATTTTCATCAAATTTGAGTAAAAATATGAATGTTGAGAATTTGGTGGAGGATTTGATTCATCCTTGATTTGAGGAAAACTTTGCCTCAACCTTTATTTGATACAAATTTGAAAAAATGATTGGAGCATACTTTTTGGTCATTATTTCATCAAATTTGAATTTGATGAAAAAATTGATGAAGGATTGGAGATGTTCTTAAATGATCTTACATCTTTCTATTTTGATGATGTGACATAATTTCCGAAGCATCTCTAGAAATTCTGTTTGTTCATTTAGCCAATAATTTTTTCATAATGTTTAATTTTTTGTGTGTTTGCGTGGAGGTGAATAAATGGATTTTGATTTTTCTTCATTTTCTCAAATATGAATTTGTCTAAGTTATGCCCTTTTAGGCATTGCAAACATTCTGCAAAGGTCTTATTTCCAGAGTTATTTTGCAACTTTAAAAGGCACTAATTCCCTAATGATTATATTTTGTAGAAACTTCACTTTACCCCTAGGATTTGAGTACTATAACAAAAAAAACCTTTGGTGACAGACTGATTTTGTCTCCAAACATCAAATTTTCGTCACTAAAGTGATCTGCGACGAAAAAAATTTGTCACCACGTTCGTGGCCTATACGTCGTCACAAAAAGTACCTGGTGACGAAAAACAGTTTCGCCACCTATTTTTGATTTTTGGCGGCGAAATGTTTCGTCTTCGAATGTTGAATTTTTCGTCCTCTATAACATCAATTTCGTCGCCAAAACTAAATAATATTTTATTTTAATTGTTTTTCGCGACGAAATATTTCATCACCAAGTATATTTTAGTGACGAAAGTTTTCCTCACCAACAATATGGACTAAGGTGACAAAAAAATTCATCACTAAAATGAGCAGAAAAAAAAATTCTTCAATGACAAAAAAGATTTTGTCACCAAATATTTCAATTTAGCGACGAAATATTCAGCGAATGTGACGAAATTATTTGTTTGGTATTGTATCATTAGTGACAAAATTATTCGTCATGTTTTTTGAAAACTAATAGCGACATTTTTTATTTCGTCACTAATAAAAATTAAAAATTTTGAAAATGGGGATACTATTTTCTTCTGAAATTTTTTCTTTTCAGTAACGATTCTCTGTGCATTTCAATAACCTCTTCAATAAAATATCTATTACAAATCAATACAGAAATCTGTTCATTTTCATAAACATCACAATCGAATTTCAGCACTATCCACAAAAATACAAGATGAACTGTATGCGGATTATAAACATGTCTCCTAATATCCACAAAAAACGTCTATTAATATCTACAAAAATATAATATCAACCGCATGCGGATTACCAAACAAATCTCCTAATATCCAACAAAAAAACATGTCTACTAATATCAACAAAAATAAAATATCAAGGGCAGATTACCCAACATGCCCTGTAATACCAACAAAAATAGAAAATTTATACTTGCAGGAGATTCTCAAGAAAAGGAAAGGAAAAAGAAAAAATTATCCCCCAAAAAGAAAAGGTGAAAAAGAACAGCAACCAACCACCATATTGAAATAGAGGGACAATTGCCTTACTTGCAGGAGATTCTCAGGATAACATTGCATAATGATCCTATTGCTACATTTAGTGCTTTGCTGATGTTTAGAACTTGTTTATACACTATGGAGAGGTGAGAGTATATCTATAACTTGATTATTGAGTGTTAGCTACTCATTAAACATGGTTATACAAAAGCCCTTATGCACCCTGGAACATGGTTCCTGTGAAGGGAATAGAAATTATGATGTCTTGGTGATGCAGGACAACTTTGAATACTCAAAATATAGCAGCATCATGAACAGTTTATGATGGAAAACATGACATTATGAATAAAAGCGTGTAGATTTATTGGTTTAAATGATACAAAGAAATTTGTAGGGTTCGGTTGTGGGTAAAGAAGAACCAAATTAGGCTTGAATTTCAAACTTTCAGATTGCAAGATTTTCTGAGTACTTGTAGTTTAAAGCAATGGCCAAACTTTTGGTTTTGTAGTTAAATTGATGGCCAGAAGGTATCAAAGCTAAAGCAGAGAAGGATGTTTTACAGAGCTACCAGGTCTCAATATGGGAGGATTTTGGGGTTGGATTTTGGGCTGTTCAACCTAAAAATCCTTGGAAATTACCCATGGTATGGTTGCACAAGGCATCAAACAAAGCATCAAAAGCTTCAAATAAATTCTCATTATAGGCAGCCTTAATCCCAATTTTCATAATTTGTCTATCTTCAGTTCGGTATCAAAAACCAAAATCCTATTATCTTCTAACCAATTGTTCGATGACAAAAGAGTTAAATTCTAGGTTTGAAGCTTTATCTCAAGACCATGAAGGAACAAAGAAGGCTTTAACCCCTAATCATCAAATATGACCAGAACACTAGACCAAATAACTATCATACATACACCACCATGGTTGAAGGTTCCCACATAAATGAAGGGCATCTACCTATATCCCTGACAAGTTTCTCAAAATAGAAAGGAGAAGCTCAAATTTTGCAGTTGACTATAAAAGTATCCACCAAACAAAAGACAAATGTGCTAATACTCTTCAATGTCCCAATCTTTAAAATGCTCTTGACAATAATGACAAGCTTACTAAGTAATATGATGTTGGGGGCCTTAATAATGAACAAACTATAGAAGCTGATTATAAAAAAAAAACATTGCAAATGGTGGAAGGGAGGACTCTGCAAAAACCCACCTTTACTGTTCGTTTACTGAATTTCTCAATCTGTTCCTTATTGCCAGTCTACAATGAAAATGGAAGCACATTGCATGACATTTTTCATGTAAAAATAAAGCGAAAAACAGGTTACAGCAAAATGAAAATAGAAAGGGGAAAAGGGAAATAATAGAAAAGACAGTTAATGCTATAATGGAATGTTTTACATGGAATATTCATTTTACCACTAAGGCCTTGTTCAAGTCCTCAGTAGCATCTGCTCTTTTTGAGTGTCTGTACGAAAGAGTACACCATTTGAAAATCATAGTAATCAAACATTTGTGGTCTTCTACACACGTCCAAAAGAAGTAACCAAAAAAAAAAAAAAGCCATCAGAAATATACCGTTTCGCAAGCTCTTGTTTTTTCAAATGGGGAGGCTTTCCATAAAAAACATATCTGAGACAGGGTTGAAGTAATTTAGCAAATAACAAACTTTACCAAAAAAGAATGAGCAAAATATAGGAGAGGTAAATGAATGAAATTACACTGGCTTCAATCCAGCTTCAAGAAGCCTAATTGTCCGAGTGAACATCCCTTGCAAATGACTACAACACAGAATCACAATAATGATAGGTTAAATCATAGATAAAAACCTTACAAATATGAAATAATCAAACTTTTTATCTATTAGAAGAATTTACAGGAACTCCAATAAGAAATGATTTGGTTCAAAACTGAGGCTATACCTAGTTACTTCACCAGACACATTGGTAAGCATTTCAGTCCCATTCCGACCCACAACAATCTACATCATAGACAAGCACCAATTGAACTAAACATACCAGTATGTGCACATAAATGAAAAAAAGGGATAAATTACACCAGTAATCACTATAACTTAATATATAAAAAATTAAAGCATCAATTGCCGATCTATTGATAATCCAGCAGGCACATCATTGTTTGTACCTAAGAGAAATCCAATTCAAAACAGGTTTCCATTAGGTTTTTTTTTTTTTTTTTTTTTTTTTCGGTTTCCAATTGGAACATCGAATTTGTATACAGAGCATTATATGTATACAGAGCATATACAGAGCATTATACAGAGCATATTTTATATGTATATAGAGCATATTTCATATGTATACAGAGCATATACATCAAACAAATACATTAGAGGGAGCATCGAGAGAGAGAGAGAGAGAGAGACTAACAACGGTGGTGATCTCCGATCGGCACAGCAACGGCGGTGAGGAAATGAGGGGCTAACGATCGGCAGCAAGGGTAAGAGAAACCAACGGCGGCGGTGAGAGCTGTCGGCGGTGGGTTGATGCAATGGTAGCAGCGGCGGTGAGGGAAATAGTTTTGAACCGAGTATAACGTGTGTGTGTGAGAGAAATAGGTTTGAACCGAGAAATTATTGTGCGTGTTTAAGGCGCCAAATTTTTTTTATTTTCCCCCTAAAATATTTAGTGACTAAGTTATTTATTGGTGACAAAATTATTTCTTCACCAAAGATAAAAATATTGGCCACAAAAATCGTTTTGTCACTAAATGATATTAAAATATTAAAAATTATTGGTGACAAAAATATATTCGGCATTAATAATTTTATAATTGGTGACCAATTTTTTCGTCACCAAAAGTCTCAAAATTTTGGCACCTCCGGGAAAATATTTGGTGACAAAAAAAATATAAATAATGACAAAAAATAATTTCGTCACCTAATTTTTTATTATGATTTAGATTGGTGACGAAATTTTATTTTTGTCTCCAAAAATGGTACATTTGGAGACGAAATATGATTTTCGTCATTAAAAGATATGTATTTCGTGACAAAAAAAAAAATTTCGTCATTAGTTTTCGTCTCTAAAGACTATTTTTGTTGTAGTTGTGTGGTTTACTCTCCTAACGTTTAGAAATAAGCACATAACCTCACATGATTTGTGGACCAAAATACACACTAATATCTATTAATAGAACATATGAATTGACCTTTTTGCCTTGTCTTCTTCCTCTCTTTAGTAAGACCTCATCTTCATCACCATGACCAGCCACCCTTCTTCAGTAAGACCTCGTCTTCTTCCTCAATATGACCAGCCACCCTTTTCTCTCCCTCACAGACCATCGTCGTTGCTTCCTCTGCCATCCTTGACCATCACTGTCGTCTCCGCCTAATCATCATGCATTGTCTACAACAATCACGACTATCCTCCACCGATAGCCCAAAGCAGTTATTTCTATACAGAAAATAAATGCAACAATGGATATATAATCAACATTTCAACTAGGTGAGTGATAAATAATCCAACTACACCCTTTAACCCCTTTCCTTTTCAATTTCCACATTCTCAATTCAATTCCTCATTCTCAACAATTTGTTATACAAATTAATCAATCAATGTAATTAGGGCATTTTCCATAATTAACATTCCAACCCTTAGGCCCCATTTTCTTCAATGATTCAACATTTGTTCCATTTCTCTATACCAAATGTGCATTTAGGTTTATCATAGATAAAACCCCAACTTTTGTAAAATGACACAAAGGCCCTAAACTTTCACAAAATTACCAAACTAACCCCAACATCTCAAAATACTAAAATTTAAAGACAAAATCCATAGAGAGGAGTAGGATATCCCTACCTCAAATTCGGAGCCCCAAAGGAGAAGATGACAAAACCCAACGTGCTCCAAAACCCGAGATTTTCAGATTAAAAAGTAGCCCCCGACGATCAACAACTCTTTTACAAAGGCCGAAGGTGAGGAACTCACCCTAGCTAGATCAAAATCTAGAGAGAAGGTAAGATTTTAGAGAGAGAGGCTCTCAAAATAGTTTTTAGAAAAAGTAGGAGAGAGAAAGAAAAGTAAAAAGTGATTTGAAATCACCTAGCGGATAACTCATATACGTAAGACCCGCTCGAGCGGAGAACACGATGCTCGAGCGCCAAGAACAAAACTCTGGACACGCTCGAGCGCAATAATGCCCGCTCGAGCGCCAAGACACAAGAATAAAGTACATCCACTCGAGCGCGAAAACCAGTCCGCTCGAGCGTGGATTCCCCCCTCCCAGAACTTATACTCTAGAAGCACTACCCGCTCGAGCGCCCACTTAGAAAAAGTAGGAGAGAGAAAGAAATGTAAAAAGTGATTTAAAATCACCTAGCGGATAGCTCATATACGTATGGCCCGCTCGAGCGGAGAACAGGACGCTCGAGCGCCAAGAACAAAACTCTGGACACGCTCGAGCGCCAAGACACAAGAATAAAGTACATCCGCTCGAGCGCGAAACCAGTCCGCTCGAGCGTGGATTCCTCCCTCCCAGAACTTATACTCTCGAAGCACTATCCGCTCGAGCGCCCACAGACCCGCTCGAGTGCCACCGCTCGAGCGTAAACAAACCCGCTCGAGCGCAAAAAACACATCTGCAGAAGTTTTGCAGAGACACGAAATACTGGATGGGTGTATTCCCCGCTCGAGCGCAAGAAGACCCGCTCGAGCGGACAGGCCAAAATCTGGGCAACTAGTTTTGGTTTCTAAACTCAACCAACCCATAACAAACCTGCCCAACACATCCTATAACTCAAATACAAAGTAAGAAAGGATGTAAACAAGATAATGATCAACTACCAACATCCACGGACACATGTCCGGATCACTGTACAACAAGGGTAAACCCGGGATCGCTATAGGTGAGGCATCTGTAGTAGGGTTCATAATGAATTACCATTGTTGTGAGGCTGTGGGAAGAACAAAAAGAGTTATCTTAGGAATTCCAAATAAATTATCAAACCTCTCACATGGGTGTGGGACTATAACAAGCCCGCGGGGGACCTCGCTACAGCTCGGACTCGATTTTCGTAGTCACAGTTCTAAGTCTGAACCAAAGAGTCCAAATCCGGCAAATCGTTTTGAGAAAACAGATTTTTGAAAGAAGTGCCAAACATGGACTGCTTTGCCAGATACAGAGTCGCCACCTAAATATTTTATTTTGGGAAATTTAGGAAACCCTGACTCGGTGCCAAAAGGCCACGTGTCCGTCATCACCAAAGTTGCATCGGCTCGGGAACTTGGGTACGATTAGGGAAGGTCACTTCGTGAGCACCCACGGTTGGTTCAGTATCCAGAATTGAGGTGCATACAGATGCTATCTCAATCTACAGAGTCGCCACCTAAATATTTTATTTTGGGAGTGCAACTGAAAGTGGAAGCAGGGGCCAGGAGCTCTCTAGTCCTCCATGATGTGGCATATCGGGCAAGCTGTATAGACTGGATCGCCTGAATTGGAACAAAACATTTCATGTTCGTTTTTTGAAAATGGTTTGCTACCTCCAGGTAGGCTTGAAACATTTGATGATTTATTCCAATTCAGATAACCCAACCTTCATCCACAGGCATTCAGGCAGTTATATCATATAAGCACATGGCCTCATGGTAAGCATGCTATTCATGGCAGCACTCACACGTATGCAAGGATGCTAAAGCGTAAAACTTACCGAGTACTCCAAGCCAAAAATAGAAACTTATTAGAAATCATGCATGAATCCTAAGTATACAGAAATGCCTAATGCAACACATGCAAAATGCAACTATAGCAGGCTCGGCTATTCTAAGATGGTATATGAAATGTTACAACTATCATGTATTCAAATTAGAATTGAAAAATACAATGCAGTTAGTATGATGCGCCGAGCCCGGTGCATGCAATACAAATGAATGAATGCAAACATGCTGTCATACTGTATGCTAATTGAAATATGTCCTAATCTAACCATCATAAGCGGATAAATAAAAGGGAGAAAGACGTGGGGTTGGAAGACATACAACACACACACGCACACTTATTACAGTTATGCCCTCGCGCAGAGGGTCCGAATAAATAACACAGTCCCGAATGAAAGAATATTACAGTCCGAATATTACAGTCCAAATAATATACAAATTCCTAATTAATTAACAAATTAACTAAGAAAGCTGTAAAACTGGCGTGCAAGCCAGGGACTGCCTCGCTTCTGATGGATGATGCATGTCCGGGTTGTCTTGCGCGAAAATCCACCGGGATGCCCCAATTAGCCTCTGTTTAGCAGTTATTCTCGAAATGCGTGCCAAGTCTCGAAAAATCGCTGATTCCTGATTTTGCTGCAACAGAGAGCAGGAAAGGGGCATAGCAATGTATTTCACAAATATATGCATACCTCGATCCTCGTGCCACCAATCACGCGTACCGAGGCATGATGGCCGAGGAGTCGAATTGCACAATTCAATATAGGATGGATGCACATGAAAACACAATAAAACCTAACTCCATCATGGATGATCCAGAGTATCGGTGACCGGGGAATTGAGACACATTCCGTCACTCGGAGTACGAAATGCACCTCGTTTCCCGTGCCCGGGCTAACTCCTATCCCGAACACGATGCAATATGCATGATATGCATGAATGCAACATAAGATACAATCCTAACATACACAATGCTATGAAAGCGATATGTCTCGAAATGCGTGCACACGGGCATGCAAACCGAGAAAATGACAGAATGCAATCTAAGATACAACCTAGTATGCACTATGCTATGAAAATGAAATGCCTCGAAATGCGTGCACACGGGCACGCAAACCTAGAAAATGACAGAATGTAATCTAAGATACAACTTAGTATGTACAATGCTATAAAAATGATATGCCTCGAAATGCGTGCACACGGGCACGCAAACCGAGAAAATGACAGAATGCAATCTAAGATACAACCTAGTATGCACTATGCTATGAAAATGATATGCCTTGAAATGCGTGCACACGGGCACGCAAACCGAGAAAATAACAGAATGCAATCTAAGATACAACCTAGTATGCACTATGCTATAAAAATGATATGCCTCGAAATGCGTGCACACGAGCACGCAAACCGAGAAAATGGCATACGCAATGCAAATGACATGGAAACATGATATGAGCTTATACCAACATGAGTGAGCCTCAGCCACACTCACATAGGATGCCGGTGGATGAAAATGAAGTGCCTCGAAATGCGTGCACACGGGCACGCAAACCGAGGCAATGATAGAATGCGATGCAATGACATAGAAAACGCGATATGGGCTTATTCCAACATGAGAGAGCCTCAGCCACACTCACATAGGATGCCGGTGGATGAAAATGAAGTGCCTCGAAATGCGTGCACACGGGCACGCAAATCGAGGCAATGATAGAATGCGATGCAATGACATAGAAATGGATATGCAATCATTCTAATGGAATTTCAGCAATGAAATATGGGGTAAAACAGTCCCGAAATGAGGCGAAATGACACCAAATGCATGGAATAGTCCCGAAATGCGAATTTAGGCACCCGAAATGGCCTATAGCTATGCCAAATATGCACGATATGGACATGTAATGCAAAGACAGAAGCTAGGCAGTCCCAAAAAAGGCACTTTCACAGTTATAAACATGGCCAAACAGCAAGCATAGGTAGGGCAAAAATGGCATGCAAGAATAGGGGCTAAGAGAGGGGTAATGAGGCAAGT